GCAGCCATTTCTTTGGTGGGTCATTTTTAGGGGCAAAGCAAACACAGTGATGTAGAGAAATGGATCCTTTGGGAACTCCTTCTGCCCTAGCAAGCATAGCCAATGGCTGAGGCTGATGGCAGCTGTCGTTCAGCCACATCTGGAGGGCCACAGGTTCTCCACTCCAGCTTTAAACATTTGCCACTGCTGCAGTTCTGCCTGGAATGGGGGGTTCCCATGCCTGCTTTTCACGATGGGAGGAAGGATCCACTAGCTATGCCAGTTCTGCCAGCACAGTGGGGCTTCCAGTCCTTTCTAAATTCCCTTAGCCAACAGATCTTGAGTATGGGATTGTGCCCTAAGCCTCTTGTACAATAAGTAGGTTTTCTTCTTGGATGTATCCTCCTGTAGCCTATTCAGATGTGATAGCTCCCCACCCCCCTTCCTTACTTTTTTTGCTGCTGTAACTTGGCAACCGGATTCATTCTGTTAGCACTCAATGTTACAATCTCTCAAAGCTGAACCATCTGTGTGGAATTAATAGGCTACCCAGAGAAATAGATGAGAATGGCCTGCCGTAATTAACATGTAGGTAAAGTATATTTAACAGATTATTATAATTAATATGTCAGTTACTGATTTCATGCTAAATAGAATTGTGAACACAAGATATTAAGATTAGTTACTCTCTGCCTCTCCTTCCCTCCCTCTCCCCTGCATGCATCTGTTGAACTAGCAAAGGGAAAATGAGAGTTCAGCATCAATAAAATTGACCCCAACATTAAGAATATCAGATACAGAAGACAAAGCAAAGCAGAGACAATGTAAGTCATGGCAGCAGTTGAAAATTATGGGCTCCATCAATTTGGAATTAACACCATGACTTCCTACAAGTGACTTCCTATCAAATAAAATTTCATTGACACACACAGCAATGCAAAATGCATTGTTTGTAAAATGAGCCAGAGGGGGTGGGAGATTCCCTCCCCACTCCATCCCTCCCCCCGCCTGCAGCACTATCAGCTTGGTTATTTTGTCAGGAACATGCCTAGTGCAAGCAAGATTGGAAAACCAACAAAGGGAAAGGTGGATATGATCAGAATTCACGGTGAGCAGCCCGCGCAATGCATCTTCATGTAGAATGGATATAGTTTTTTATGTTGGCAGCTGTTTCATAAGCCACAGAATAACACCAGTTTAGTTTATATAGAACAGGGATGGAAAAACATCTCTCACTGTTCTTTAAAGTGACTTCCATGACAAATTTGCCTAGCGAGATTATTAAGTTCCATTTCTTCACATGCCTCTGGGAAAGGTAAGATTCATCTTTGTTTGATGGTCTCCTGGGCATTTTCAGCTGAACTGAAGCTAACTGCACCAGTCGGGAGATCTCTTGGATACAATTCCAAGTTGATGGCATTTTAGCATGATATATTTGTGTGCTTCTTTTTACTGGTTATCCAACATATAAATCTCAAGGCATGCACCTAAGAAGAATATTAAATACTAGTAGAGTAGGTTCTTTGTTGCGGAACTATGTAAAGAGGCATAAGGCCTTTTGTTTAAATCCCTTCCAGAAATTCACATTCTGCAATGCATACCACGCATTTTTAAAATGTCTGTTGGTTCCTGCCTGCAGTGTGTTAGTCACAGAGACCTGCTGTGATGGGGGGAGGGTGTCTCCGGACACCTCCCTGGATTTTCAGCTTTTGGGAGGATTTTTCCCTACCCTCATACAAAAAGGGGAGCGGGGTTCCTTAAGCCCTATTCATAGCACACATTTAAAGAACTATGATACCACTTTAAACAGCCATGGCTTCCAGAGCTTCAATACCCCTGTTCCCCTGCCAGAGCTACAGATCCCAGAATTCCCTGTGAAAAGGGATTGATTGAAAGGTAATCATAAGAGTCAATTCCTAGGGGCCGAGGTCCCTTCATCCCACTCCACCCCCAATAAAATATTTCATGGGCACTGCCATTCAGATGGTGTGCATGCAATGCATCTTATAATTGATAATGCAGGGTGGGGTTTGCTTGCCCCCCCCCTTCAATATTTATTTCAAGTTGGCACCCTTGCAGGGAATGGTAGCTCTGGAAGGGAAACAGTGGGGATAGCCTCCAAATTCTTAGCCCCCTTAACAAACTACAGCTCCCAGAATTCTTTGGGAGAAGCGATATCTATTTAAAATGGTATCATAGCGCTTTAAATGTACAGTGTGGATGTGGCCTTAGTTTGTGATTCCCAGTATGTGGAATTCAGGGGCAGACTGCTCCCAACAGTACAGGTAGAAGATAATCCACAAGGCTAGGAGCCACTCACCACCCATGGGAAGCGGACTCTGGCCCACAAAAGGCTGTGCTGCAATAGATCTGTTAGTTGTTACAGTTCCACGAGTTTCTTGGTTGCTTTAGCCTCTGTTCTGTCAGCCACTGCGTTATTAAATCTAACCCCATAGTTTGACATGGTGCTTGGCACCTGAAAATTATGCTCTACAAATAAACGTAATCCGTTTTGCTCCAGGTTCTGCGGTCTAAAAGCGCAGAGAGGTGTAAAAGAACTAGCAGCCAGTTTCCCAACTCTAATAAATGAACCCATCAGAGTAGGTGCTAATAGTTAAGCCCTTCTGTTTAAGTACAAGCCGTCTGCTTTTGTGTATGTGTTTGTGGGTCCTCTGGAGAAACAATAAAGCCACCCCAAGGAATGGATTAGCACAGATAGCTGCTTCTTTTTTGTTCCCTTGTGAGTTCCAATAAGCTCTGTGCAGGAGTAGCTCCATCTCTGTCGATTTCATCTCAAGCATGGAAAGCTTATTTACAAGCAAACTGTCTCCTGAATGTCTTAAGACCGAGGGATTGTCTACCCGCTGTGCTTACCTACAGAAGGATGCAATGCCACTCGATGGATAATCATTTCGGCGGGCCCCATAGCACAGGCATGCTAGAAAGTTCAGCACAATTGTTATCTGTTCTGATTACTCCGCGTTGTAAAAATAAACCCCACACATTTGGGTCATTTGAGGTGTCTATATATAATACGCCAGGTCTCGTCGTCAGCGAGATGGTAAATCTATGACTCCAGACTGCAGGATGGTCTTACATGATCAAATGCTCATCTGTTCAGGGGAAGGCAGGGGGATCCCTTAACACAGAAAAACAGAAAATCAGGGGGGAGATGTCCTGACTCCACATTATCCCTGTCATGTGCATGGATTGTTTGTTGAGAACAGCAACATTCAACTAGAAGAGCTGTATGGTCTAGAATGGGGGAGAGGAGAGAACACAAAAAACCCAACAAAAACATTATTTCTTGTCAACTGTTCCGTTTCTTGTCAACTGTTACAAAGCCCAATGCATTTTGATAGAGGGCAACCTTCTTCAGGGACACTTATGGAGAGGTTTTCCAGCCAAACTGTCTTCACCTCAAAAATACTGGGCTTTCTAGCATTTTGCAAGAATTTCATGAATTCACAAGCACTACAACCAACCTTCACCTGCTTATTCAGAGTGCCACTGTCCACTGCAGCTGCCAATATGGGAGCAAGTCAACCCAGAGAGTCATTTCCAAGGGCCCCCTCAAACCTAGAGCTGGCCTTGCAGTTTGCAATACAACTATCTAGGCATGATGGACAAGATCAACCTTCCCTCAAGCTGGTGCTCTCTATGTGCTTTGGATTCCAACTCCCATCAGCCCCAGCCAGGATGGTCAATGGCCAGGGAGGATGGGAGTTGTAGTCCAACAACATCTGGAAGGCAGCAGGCTGGGGAAAGCCTGCATTGGGCACCGAGTCCTCCAGTGCTTTTTTCCCTGGGGGTACGCAGGGGTAAGCATACCCCTAAACATTTTGTGAATCTTTGTACTTTTGTCCATTTACTGTATTTATTTTTCCTGATTTGAACTATAAACGGTGATTTTCTTGAGTCAAAATGAGAGTACTCCTAAACATTTTTTAAGAAAAAGAGCACTGTAGTCCTCCTGTTTGCACAAGAAGCAGCTCTGTGCAAACACAAAAGCATATTTGGATTTGTCAAGTTATATTTTATTTAATATAAAGCAAGGTGACTCACTCTGGGGGGCCAGAACAAGAGGATGCTAATTGATCATCAATAACAGCAACAGCAGCAATGGAAAATGCAGCTAACAAAAACCAGCCAAGGGGGTTGGCAGTCTTAGCTCCATCCCATAATTACTGAATAAACAATATTTAACTCTATAAATATTGACAGGGTTCAATTTGATCTTTATGTGCAACATTCCAGTTGCTGATTGGCAGCACCTACAAAGCCCAGTGCAAAAACCCCTGAACAGCATTTTACAAGCACCAATGGTCAGTTGATCACTGGGGGTAGCAAAATGCCACACATGGCCCTTTGCATGCGCCATGTTGGTGTAAAGGTAAAGGTAAAGGGACCCCTGACCATTAGGTCTAGTCATGGCCGACTCTGGGGTTGCGGCGCTCATCTCGCTTTATTGGCTGAGGGAGCCGGCGTACAGCTTCCGGGTCATGTGGCCAGCATGACTAAGCCACTTCTGGTAAACCAGAGCAGCGCACGGAAATGCCGTTTACCTTCCCGCCGGAGCGGTACCTATTTATCTACTTGCACTTTGACGTGCTTTCGAACTGCTAGGTTGGCAGGAGCAGGGACCGAGCAACGGGAGCTCACCCCGTCGTGGGGATTCGAACCGCTGACCTTCTGATCGGCAAGTCCTAGGCTCTGTGGTTTAACCCACTGCGCCACCCACATCCCACGCCATGTTGGTGTGCAAGCTGTTAAATAGCACCAGCCCCCCCGAAAAAAGTTTGTGATGTCTTTGTGATGTCAGGTGATTGACAGGTGAGTGGCCCTGTCCTCCTGCCAAATATTTATTTATTTAGATTTCTTACCCACCCTTGACTATGCTTTGGCATGCCCTGTCTATTGACACCAGGAAGGCACCTTCACTCTGCTCTTTTCAGTGCAAGCCTATCCAGACATGCAGAATGTTGACATGCATTTTCATCTGTTTTATTTTTATTTATTTTAGTTTACTGTCGGTTTTAATTATTTTCCTGAATGTTTTAAGTAGTTGGCTTTTTTCTTTCTACTGTTTCTTACTGGTAATCTTGTTGTTTTATTATTTTTGTAAACCGTTTTGAGGTTTCATTATGTGAGGTTTTTATTACTGTCAGGCAGTATATGAATCTTGCGAAGCGAATAAATAAATAAGGTCTCAGGGTGGGTTACAACTTTCCATCTCTGTGAGGTGTAGGGCAGCAGGAATAAAACCCCTTCTCTAGGCAGGCAGGCCTCTGCAGATCCATCTCTCTGCATTCCACCCCACCCCCCATCTTCATCTATGGAAAATCCAAAGAAAAACAGAACAGGAACATGGTCCTAGTCCGAGAACAACATCCCGTTATCTGAAGAGCTCTGCAATCCATGGGAAAGATAGCAGCCTTTCCCCACCTCACCATCTCAATCTGCTATTATTAGAGACAACTGATGAAGAAAACAAACAGACGAGATAACAATTAGACAGTCAATAATGGCATATGAGGCAGCAAAGACAAGATGCAAACAGGCTTGCCATTATCAAGTTCATCTGCTAAGCATATGGAATGCGCCAAGCTGTTATTTTAATCATTCCTGGATGGCTGTGTTCTCTTGTAAGTTTTTGCTGAAGGAAGAGGGTGTTCAGGGTCACCACCAGATATCTCTATTAGTGGACAAAGAGATGCCTTATGTAGGAATGACTGGTTGTTGATGCCCAGGAGTGAGACCCAATTCTCAGGCTTGGGTTTTGCGGGGTTCAAGTCATTGCAAGCTGAACTGGAATCAAACCAAGGAGTTGGTCAGTATGGTGGACACGTTTCCTACTTGGCAGAAGACATGTGAAGGACTGTCTTCTCCAAGTCTAGCATCAAAGAACTGTAGGGTTGGAAGGGACCCCAACAGTCATCGAGTCCAAACTCCTGCAATGCAGAAATCACAGCTAAAGAATCTGTGGCAGATGGCAATCCAACCTCTGTTTAAAAACCTCCAATGAAGGAGCCCACTGCCTTCCAAGGCAATCCATCCCACTGTCAAATAGCTCTTACGGAATTGTTTGAAGATAAAGAATCCCAAGGAGGGAGACCTGCAGAAGTCTTGAATTTGCCCATCAACTCATAGCACCTCATAGACTCTTATTTCCCTCACACAGCTATAATTTCCAGAGCGGTTTAACAATCAACCCCCCTTCAGTTGTAGCTCTGTGGTGGGAATAGGGGGTATCTTAGCAAAGTACAACACCCTTAACAAACTTATCCCCAAAGGGCAACCCTATTGCCAACCCGTGTGCAAATTTCAAAGGACGGCTGTGTTTCGGTTCATGTATTCTTTCAGAAACTGTGGGTTCCATAGGTTTGCCTTTAAATGCAAAATGGCTGGAATTCCTCCTCCATCCCTAATCTGAAAGAATGTGAGAATCAGCTCTGAGATGTACAAAGCAGTTAAGGTGGTAGGTTTCCACTGATTGGTCGCCAGGCGTTGCTCCGATAAAACAAGGGTTTGCCCTAGCTAATTCCTATCTCATCCTTTCGACCACCAGATGTAATTTATTGTGCATTCGCTTCATATTCAGTTGAAAAGGTATAAGAGGAAAGATCTTTATAATTGAGCTATACGTTTTGCCATAAATAGGACACCTATTCAGAGTCTCCCCTTTGTGTGGATTAAATCTGAACAAAACAAAACAAAAACCCATAGATATACAAAAGGAATAATGTGTCAATGCTTTTGTGCTGTTAGGGCAGTGCCCCAGAATCCCCATCAAGTTCAGTGCTGCGTAGGCAGTAATAAGCACTATTGGGTTTCTTAGTTTTCAGTCACTGCTGTGAATCTCAATGCAGAGAAAGTTGCAAAGGGGGGGATTGAAAATTACAGGAGAGGGGGGAGTTGAACTCCTTTATTTTCTTGCATTTGAAGAAGTGTCAGAATGGTTTCCAACAGAAGAAGGAAGCAATTTCAATTGAAGGAATAATGGGAAATATATTGGATGACATAGGAGGTGGAGAGCCACAATACATTTTAATTAAATTAAAGAACAATCCCTGACAGTGCTGAATAGGTTGGAGATGAATGGATCTAAATATAGATATAGATGATAAAAATATAACCAACAGATCACATATTGATCTCAAATGCAAAAGCATCTACTAAACATTTCCCATCCTCTCTGACAATGAACTTTCAGTGATGCTAAAAGGGGGCAAAGTGTTATAGAACAACCTCCTTATTTCAGATTACATAAAATGATTACATTTCAGATTGCATAAAATGAATGATACCAGGATGAGGATGTGGTTTGTTATTAGTGTAGTGAGGGTTAGCATTAAACGGGTGAAAAAAATCCAATATAATAAGTGCCGATGCAAAATCAGACAGAAAGACCTGGAACACAAGAAGTTGGACAGATAAGGCTGTAGCTCAGTGGCAGAGCATCTGCTTTCCATACAGAAGGTCCCAGGTTCAATCCCCAGCATCTCCAGGTATGGCTGGGAATGTCCCACCCGAAACCCTGGAGAGCTGTTTCCAGTCAATGTAGTCAATATTGCACGAGATGGACCAATTGACTGACTCAGTTTAAGGCAGCTCCCTTCTTTCCTAATCCAAAGAGCCTTACCCCCACCTAATAAAGAGCCTGTAGAATTGAATGGTGGTAGTGAGGAGCTCTGACAGCAGAGTCAAGGCACTTTCCTCTCTTCAATACAGTGGCAGCTTATATGGAGAAGGAGCTGCTATCTTGATCTCTGTAGAATTGCAACACCACCAGCGCAGGGGGCCAGAAGGCAATACAGCCAAATTCTACCCCAAGAGGTGTCAGGTGACACGAGGAGCCAACTGGGTTCCACATAGGCCTATAAAACCAATGACTCTGAACTGGCTCCTCAGAAATCACTTGGTGCAGACTGAGTATGGGACTGTCCTGTATCCTCTAGTGCCTGAGCTTTGAGGTAAAGCAAATGCATCTTTTTTGAATTCAGCTTCCAAATCTTTTCTTTCACGCACGATCAATTTCCCCAAGACTTCTGCATCACCAGCCATGAAGCCACAACTTGGCCTCACCTTTGATGAGAACACTCCCTCCCCCTAAATGGACATTTCTTGGAGTGGGCCGTCTTTCAGTAGGAGTCGACTATAGTTGCACTTACTTTATTGTTCAGACATTTACGATTATTTCTCTCCTGAGCTCCTTGACTGATGTGTTCCTCAGAGTTTAGGTTACTTTTCAAAGCATCCAACTGTTGGGACTTGGTAGTTAAATAATGTGAAATTGCAGCAATGCCAGCAAAATAGGAGTAGAGTTTTACAAAAGCATGTTCCTTCTCTGAACATAATAACAGTAAATTTCTAGAGTCCTGTAGTGCAATATCCATTAGATTTATTATGTTGCAATTCCCAATCCAACTAGTTCTGCCTGAGGGTGAGTATATTACATTTCATCACAGTTTCATTTTCTCCCACAGATGAGAAATGGGAATGCTGTTCCAGTTATGTAGCATGCATGTGTTAAATCTGATCTCTAATAAAATCAAACACATCACAACTCACAGCACTTTAGCACAGCGTCGGCAAAATGAAACACCATCTGTCATCACAGAGAGATTGCCTTATTATAACACAAAAGCCTGGCTGCTTGGTGTGAACCTTGCGATTTAATAAATGGGTAAATGGAAACTGATAATTACAATCTTATTTATTTTAAGTTATTAGTTAAAGCTGCAAAAAAAAAAAAAGTATGTATAATTTAATCAATTACAGGCCAGAGTGTTAATGCTATAAAGCAAATATTTAGAAGTCGAGTCTAAATTTTAAAAAGATCCAACACGAGAGAGGGAGAGAGAGAGGGATTGTGAGGCGTATGCATACAAAGGCCTGCCAAAATCACAGATAAAGATGGTTGCTGGGGATAGACAAAATCACTGCCAGCACTGATTAGGCCATTTTAGCATCCAGTAAATAACAGTTGAAGTACACATTGTTAGAAAAATAGCTACTGGTGTCAATCTAGGAGGGATTATGACAAAACAATCATGTTGCGATTTTACAGGATTGTTGGTTTGATGTTCTGTTGTGCAGCAGAAAAGGGCAAGTTGCTTCTTAGTACCAACCGGTGCTTATATTTTCAGAGGATCTGCAATGATGGTTTTAATCCATGGCAAAATGAAATACAAATTGGCATGTTGGCTGCCAGCTCAAATGAACAGTCCGTTGCTGCAGATGGACTCTGCACAAATTCAGCAGCTAGGCTGCAACCTGTACCATGCGCCTTTTATTTCAGTGGGCATCTTGCAGGTTTAAGAACATAAGAAGAGTCTGCTGGATGAGGCCAATGGCCCATCTAGTCCAGCATCCTGTCCCCACAGTGGCCAACCAGATGCCTGTGGGAAACAGGAAAGCAGGATTTGAGCACAAGAGTGTTTTCCCTCCAGTGATTTCCAGCAACTGGTATTCAGAAGCAATGCTGCCTCCAACTGTAGAGGCAGAGCGTAGCCATCATGACCATCAATAGCCCTCTCCTCTATGAATTTGTCCAATCCTATTTTAAAGACATCTAAATTAGGGGTTCCTATCTGGAGGCGCAGAGCTGCACCCAACATTGGATGGGCTGCAGTGATGTGGGTTTTCCCTATGAGAGAAAGAGAGACCACTGGGGGGTTTCTTAGGGAACAAGGGGGTGCAGCAGGACTAGGGGCTGACTGTCGCATCAGGAGGAGGCAGACCGTCAGGAGGAGACCAAGCACAGAGCTGGGTTCCTCTGCCTCATCAAGATTGGGAGGGCTCAGCCCCATCCCAACAGACATTGGGGGGCTGAAGAAACCTCAGCCCTATAGAGTTGGCGCCTATGTTCCTATACCATGCCTGTCCCATTCAAAATCCACATCAGTAGTGAGGGTGAAGGGATCATAGCTTAAAGGCAGAAGACAAGTTTCCTATGCAGAAGGTCCCAAGTTCAGTTCTTAGTATCTTCAGTTAAAAGGGTCAGGGGAGCACCTGATGGATTTGAGACTACCTGGAGAACTACTCCGAGTCAAAATAGACAGCCCTGGGCTAGATGGTTGTTCAGTCTGATCTGATATAAGGCAGCATCCTATGTCCAATGACTGTTCTCTTTGTATGCATCCACCTTGTTGGATGCTTGAAGATGACCAGTGAGGGTCTCAGTGTCAATTCACATTTCCAAATCACTCATGCATTTATGACAATGAGGTACAAAGCATGAGTGAAGTGGGAATGAACACTCGGGGAACCAGCAGCCATCCCATCTCCATGATTATAACTTCTGGAAAGAGTTCGTCATTGGGAGCATGAGGTTCCTGCATGAAAAGTCCAAATCACGTTATGCTTACTCCTTGTAGTAATGTGCCCAAAAATGTGCCCACAATTGCACGGAATAATTGGACAGTATGCACTGACCATAGGGTCTGATCTGTTCCCTTGCACTATGCTGCAGATCAAAAATTATCGTTATCATACTGCTGTGTGTGCACAATTATGTATTTTCATAGAGTGATGCTCCTAATCAGGCTAATTGCACCTGTTCAGTTGTCTTCCTGCTGCTAAGAAGACACCTAACTAGGACCTCTCTCTCACCTGCCTCCCCTTGACTTCCCTCATCCTTGGACTTTCTCTCTACAGGAGACTAGAGGCTTCCCAATTTGTCTCTGTATATTTTAGTGAAACCCGAGAACCAGGTGTAAAAGACCTATCATTAGGATTAAGGAACCAAATGCTTTTGAATGTTTTCTGAGTCTAGGAATTCATTTTTTATTAACAGAACTGACCTGAGCTCAAAGCCAGTAATATCAACAGTCAGTAATGGTATTTCATTGTTGCTGTTATTAAACAACCAACAACCTCATTCCCAGCATTGCTTGGGAACTCTAAGAGAACAAAAGATCAGTGGAGTTCTGAGATCAGTAGTTTAAATCAGTGAAGATAACAGAAATGCAAACCTGGTGGTGAGGTCAGCTACTGCAAGAAATTACTTGCGTTGTTCAGTACATGCTATTTAATATGTAGGTGGATTTCAAACACAATTAAGATTTTAGCTGGTACTTCAGTAAAGACATAAATAAGTCAAATGCAGAGAACTAGTGCAGAATTCTACCAAGGACCCATTGCTGTGCTGCTTTCTTCCTGTCTTTTCACATGGATTATAAAATATTAAGGAAGATATTCAATATTTATTTTGCTTTTACCTCACTAGTTAGATTGAGCCCCCCCCAGACCCTGAGATTTCAGGACCCAAACCTGAGACCTAGAGGCAGCCTCTGGTGGTGTCATGGGAATGGCCCCAATGATGTCACAGGGGGTAGGCCCAGGTAATGCCATTAAGCATGACTCATCACTTCTGCAACCCTACATCTCATGCCAGGCATGCATGTGCAGTCCTCTTGAGCTCCTCTTCCTCTTGAGCCCAGCTCTGCTCCTTTTGTTCCTCTGGGCTTCCTTCCTCTCACCTCTGAACCCTAGAGATGGAAGTTAATTGGGAATGGGAAGGAGGGAGCAGAGCGGGGCAGCTCCCCCAGAGAATCTGTGCTACAATTTGCAGTTGGTTGCTGCCAGGTTGAAGCTTGCAAGGTGAATGCAGTCTTCTTGATTAAAAAATAAATAAAGGCATTCTCACCCACCTGGAGATTTAAGCCCTCCACCTGCCACCTGGACAGGGGTCAAGCAAACCTGGAGTCTTCACGTCAGCCCTGCAGATCTTGCAACCCTAGTTGCATTTGAACATAATCATTGTGTTTTGTGCATCGAGCGCATCAGATTAGGAAATGGCCATTTTTAAAAAAGCAGCACAAGCCCAGTGAGAACACCAAGGAAATCTGCATGAGGGAGAGAAGAAGAAGAAGAGTTTGGATTTGATATCCTGCTTTATCACTACCCTAAGGAGTCTCAAAGCGGCTGACATTCTCCTTTCCCTTCCTCCCCCACAACAAACACTCTTTGAGGTGAATGAGGCTGAGAGACTTCAGAGAAGTGTGACTAGTCCAAGGTCACCCAGCCCCTGCATGTGGAGGAGCGGAAACGCGAACCCGGTTCACCAGATTACAAGACTACCGCTCTTAACCACGCCACCACACTGGCTTTCGTGTTCTTATTACTTATATAGGAAAATCCTAAGAGGTAGAACACTTTCCAAGGAAGCTCATGAGGATGGGTTGCCAGGATGTTGCATGTGCTCGGGTTCTTAAAATGAAACATTTGAGTACCATGCATGGTATATTGTGTCTGCAATGGACTAGGCGGAGAATCAAGCTGGGGGTGGAGAGAAGAACACCACATGAGCTGGGTACAAACAAGACAACAACTTTTATTGGCTATACCTGGGGTGGGGAACATCAGGCCCAGAGCCTCCTGACCTAACCAACAGCCCCTTGGGACTTTCCTTGAGCCACAGCTCCTTCCAAGCAGCAGATTCCTCTCCCCAAGCCACATTTCTCACCAGGCTTGTTTCATACCCTCCATGGGGTTTTTTGCCTGGCCTGAATGTGTCACTCCAATAACTAGCCTACTAGTAAAATCTGCATCCTTTGTCCTGCCCGATTTTGCTTATGGCCCCACCCTCGGGTGTGGCCTCCAGGAGGCTGCTGAGAAAGGAATACGGTCCATCCCTGGGCTACACATTCTCAGGCCCCTCTTGCCCTCCCAGAGCTACAGTTACCAGAGTTGTGGATGGAAGAGGAATTGACTGTTAAACCACCTAGGGATTTGTGGCTCTGCAAGGGGGACGGGGTCCCCTCACAACTCTCAGCACCCTTAACAAACTACAGCTCCCAGGAAGCTGTGGGGGAAGCCACGTAATTTAAAGTGGTACAGCACTGCTTTAAATATGTAGTGTTAAGTGGGGCCTGAACCATGGTTTAGCTGTATACACACAAAATGTGACCTAAACTATAATTGAAGCATTATACATATCAGCACCCTTAACAAACTACAGTTCCCAGGATTCTGTGGGGAAAACCATAACTGTTTATAGTGATATCATGGTGTTTTAAATGCATGGGGGGTGGGCCTTAGTTAGCATGATGTGTGCACTCTCACCCTCTTTTCAATTTTCAACATTAAATAAAGGAGGGACCATTTCACAAGAGAAATTCAAAAACTATTTAGCTTTAACAGCCCATCTTAAAGAGGCAAATCATTATGTAAATGTGCAACAGTGGATTGACTTTATATGTAACCCTCATTCAATCTGCATAATAAAAAGCAGGAGCCAAAGGTCTTTAAAAAGGGGGGGGGGGGGAATTACAGCGAACATATTTCTGCTGAATGCAGGATTGGAATAGGCAAATTAAGATAGCTATTTTGCCACGAGGAATTATTTTGATCTCCAAATAGTTTGGGGAAATTAGATTTTTACAATATTTATTGCAGACTGTAAGATACGGCCTCCTCCCTCCCAACCTCCTTAACACTGAGAGTATCTGATAGACCTCTCTCCACCCCACGACAGCTGCTCAAATTATATTTAAGAGATGACAGAGAATGTGCTTAGCTTCCGAAGAAAGGAAACGATTTGACAGGGTACATTTTAACTTTAAACTGAATTTGAGAGCTATAAAAAGAATAATTAATCAGCTGTGATATAATTTGTACAACCATCCATAAAGCAACACTAGTAGGTATCTTCAAATTACAGTAATATGGGGGAAACCATTATCCCTCCATGAAATGTTATTACAATTTTTCTAGTAGTCTCTGTGTTCCTAAACCACCTGTCTATTATATTGTAATTTATCCTTCCCCTGAACTACCTGCAAAGACTATAAAACATTCCTCTTCAGAGCGGATTGCTAAACTAATGGCCCAATCCCATCAGCAGCTCTGCCGGCAGATCAGGGTGTAAGACCGGCTGTAAGGCATCTGAGGTTGGCTGTGTGTCACATATTCATTGTACCAGTGAAGCAGATCTTTCCCTATGGAACATATCCTAAAGCTGCAATCAGCTGGTCAGTATCAGAATGTCACCATCATCACCGTCCTCATCATACAGTATATTTTTAGAACCCACCTATTTGTGATTGTGGATTGCTTTAAACAGTTTTTAATATTGTGCTTTAATGTTACAACCTGTCCTGGGACCTTAAGGTGAAGGATGGGTAATTAATATTGTGTTTACTATAATTCCCACTATGATGCGCAATGCCACGCAAATGCAAACATTGAGAATCCACTCGGGATCTTTCACAATAGTTGGATTCGTTGCAGTAGAAGAAAAGTCTTTATTTTAGAATGTTATTCCCCAATGCAAACTGAAGAATGATGATGTTGTGTGGCCAGAAAACAAAATGGGGAGGGGCAGAACTTATGCCACTTTGATGGTAAATATGGAAGGGCCCTGTATGAATAATATAATGACACCTTCCACACAGGGGCAACAGGATGAGAGTGTCTCTAGAGGCCCCCGGGATTTGGAAATCCCTGCCTTGGTAGATCATCTAGATCAGAACAGGGATGGCTAGCATTTTTTTGTCTAAAAAGGTTGCATTTGCCCTTGGCCAAGCCTCCATGGGCAGCCTGCCAGTGGCAAGCACAACCAAAAGTGGGTGGAGCCACACCACCCTCTAGCACACAGACACACGCAACACAATATGCGTAGGACAAATAGACATCTAGGATACAGGTCTAACACATGGGCACACATATGCAGATCAGCTGAGGAAGGGAGCCATCACCACTTATCAAATGATTGGTCTGAAATTTAGAGAGGGCAATGGTATGCACAACAGGGCACAGGTTGGCTGGAGAGATTAAAATCTTCCCAGACCACATTAGCGCTGTGCTTGCCTTTCGTTTCCCTTCCAACATCACTAAAATTGGCCAGGGGCAGGAGAGGAGGGAAAAAATTGTTTGAGGTGGCTGGATTGGGTGCTCTCAGGTGTTTTAATCTGCCATTTTCTGCCAAGGGGTTTTAATCTTCCATTTTCTGCCATTGTTTAAAGATTTTGGTGTTCTTATCCATCGTTTTAACATAATTTGAAACTGTTTTGTTTCTGATTTTTTTGTTTCCTACAGCAGGAGGGGGAACCGCAGGTCTGGGGGGCTGAATGTGACCCTCTGGTCCTTGTGACTCTCTTCAGGCCACACCCCCTCCTCAGCCTTGAGCATTTCTGCCTGGCTGAAATGTGTCCATGAAATCTGATCGTGCCTCTAGTATGCCTGGATAGAGAAGGGTGTGGGAGTGTGCATGGAAACTAGGTAAACTTTACATTCATTGTTTTGTCCCCTTTTGCTTGTGGCCCCGCACAGTGGTGGTATGAGAAGGCTGCCCAGAAGAAAAAGCAGCCCTCAGGGTGAAGTGAAAATTCCTCACACCTGAATCAAGTAGTTGAACAGGCCTGTATATGAGGAGAGGCAGTCTTCTTTTTTTCATTTTGAAAATAAGTGATGAAGCATTGCTGCCTTTTCGGAAGAGAAGTGGGAGGGAAGGATCTGTACAAATTTCAAAGGAAAGAAAGGATATGCTGATGTGCTTCATTTACATACTTTAGGTTCCTTGGAAGATAGTCTGATTCTTTAATAAAAAAAAAAAATGTATTCCCAGTACTATGTGCTTATCTGCTAAGTATAAGGCTTGTTTTATCGAAACACACTGCTGATATGAACAGTAAGACACAGATCTCATAATCAAACACCTATCTTGAAGGAGAAACTATTATCTACTTAAAAGATAATAAACATTCACTGGCGCTGAAGCTCACATTAACTCAGAGCACGGGAGCACATAAGTGGTGTGCAAAGAGAGCAGAGGGAAATATTTACACACAGAGCGTGTGTGTGTGTGTTTGTATTCTTGTACAGTATGTCCTTTTTTGATGTCCTTAAAGGAGTCACAGTGGGTGTTTGTTTTTCTCTGCACACTCTGATACAGCACAAAAGCAACACGTTGCTGTGTTTGTAAAGGTGATAAAGGAGGCAAGCTTATTCCAAGGGAAACAGGGAAGAATAGAACTCTGTTGAGGACTGGAATTGCAGAAGAGGTTTTCCAGGCATTCATAAAAATGCACTCCTTGAAGATCCATCTTCTTCTGGGGTCATCATGCTTGTTCAGCTACTGCATGTGGGACAGGAAGTCCCTCTTTCAAATCTCACCAGAGCTACCAAACAGCTGCCATTTTTAAAAATTTCTCTCTCTCCCCCAAATGTCCTAGAGCAATGCAGCATCCTGGGCCTAATGAACAAAATATATTACAAATAAATCAATAAACAAACAAATGTCAGCGTTCTTGACAGCTTGATTTGTTGATGGATTAAGGCCTGGGGTGGAAGGCCTGGGGTTCAAACGGGGCTCCTACAGACCATTGTTTTGAGCTTGCTTTAGATTTGGAATGAAATTATTAAAGTTTTTTCTTTTCCCCCTTTTCTTCTTTACAAGAGATAATAGAGTGCATCACCACAAGGTGTTGTGTAGGGTGAACTCCAGGGCGATAAACGCCTCTGTGCACTGGAAAATATAGGAGGTTCAGTACACAGAAAGGAATAACGTAGTGTCACTGTAAATTTTAAAGGAGCTGTTTATTAGAGAATCCAGTTCTCTTGCAACTCCTTGGAGAGATTGAAAATGAAAACAGTAGGGCTTAGAGCACAGCTTTATGCAGTAACTGTGTGCCGCAAGAGCCGCCTTTCAAGCATGCTCATTCCTTCTTTAAAAATATACGGTAGTTCTACAGAAACACACACTGTTTATAAAGGATTCATCCTGACTTGCTTGCACAAAGATTGCTTGGAGGTTAGTCTATGGGTAGTCTCCAAGTAAGTATAACGCAGAGTAGACCCACTGAAATTTAACATATCCACAATATGTCATTGCTGTTAAGAGGTTTGCTATGATTAGGACTAACATTGGCTACAACCCTTTGTCCGGTCTTTACTGAGTAATTCATCCTGATTTGCTTTGCAGGGTGTTGATTACATATATATATATATATATATATATATATATATATATATATATAAGCCACTTACTTGTCAATATGACTTCCTGTTACCGTATTTTTCGCCCTATAGGACGCACTTTTTCCCCACCAAAAATGAAGGGGAAATGTGTGTGCGTCCTATGGGGCGAATGCAGGCTTCGCTGAAGCCTGAGAGCGAGAGGCGTCGGTGCGCACCGAGACTTCTCGCTCTCCAGGCTCCAGGAAGCTATCCGCAAGCCTTGCGCACCCGGGGGGAGTTCCCCCGGGCGTGCAAGGCTTGCAGGCGGCAGCCTGCAGCGCGGAGCATGGGGCGCCCTCCGGAGGACGTCCCGTGCTTCGCCCAGGTGTCCGCAAGCCTTGCGCGCCTGGAGGAACTCCCCCCCCGGGCGTGCAAGGCTTGCGGGCGGCAGCGCGGAGCACGGGGCGCCCTTCGGAGGACGCCCCATGCTTCACGCAGGTGTCCGCAAGCCTTGCGCGCCTGGAGGAACTCCCCCCCGGGCGTGCAAGGCTTGCGGGCGGCAGCCTGCAGCGCGGAGCACGGGGCGCCCTCCGGAGGATGCCCTGTGCTTCACGCAGGTGTCCGCAAGCCTTGCGCACCCGGGGGAACTCCCCC